TATAATATATATATATATATATATATATATATGTACATTAGAATGGGACGAACGACGGATTATCAATGTCTTCTTTATATATAGCATTTTAATACATATATTCAATTATTAATATAATTAAATAGATTAACTATTCAAGTCTAAGTAATTTTTTCTTAATTTTTGAAAATTTTAGCGTATCATGAATTTGATTTAATATATTAATTTTTAATTCTTATTTAGAGATAAACTTTATGTAGATTCAATGGGTAACAACTTCCCACAAATAAAAATACATAATACGGAGTAGCAAATTAGGTTTTGACGAGGTGGGGCGGACCCGCCCCACATGGAGCGGGTCATGGGTCAACAAGTTTGGACCCGTGCAGGTCACGGGGCGGGGCGGACCTGCCTCGCCAAGTCACGGGGCAAGTCCGGGTCTTGCAGTCCCCGCCCCGACCCATTGTCATGCCTACTCATCATCATCATTATCATGTACTAAAGTATGATAAGAAAATGAACTTTGGCATGATTATAAAATTTCTAGATTACATATATCCTCTTTTAGAAAAGCTAATGTGCCCATTGATCAAAATTGTAACAAAAGATGTAATTCGTATTACACTTAAAGGATCAATCGTGTTACTAATTTTTTTAAGAGCAATTCTGATTTGTGATGTATGTTTCTTAGTTTCACTTTGATGAACTCTTATTCCATGTAAAACATTTGCAATATTTATTTTTGTACTTTTACTTTCTTCTATTGCAAATGAAGTTAATTTATATTGAGTACATATTAACTCCCACTGGACTGGAACACTAGATCCCCTGAAATTATTTATCTTATCTACACCCTGCAGATTTTGGATCCTTCGCAGCTTAATTTCAAGAAAAGATCATGCAAAGGGTGTAGACCATCGTCCAACCGTCTGTACAAGACAAAGGTTAGTATGCCAAGATTCGTGATGTTTGTTTTTAACACGAATTATCAAATTTATGATATTTATGAATGTTATTTTAATATTTTACGATTTGGGATGAAAATATATTTCGATAGCATGCCAAGATTTAAAGAAATCCGGAGCGCCGAGAATAGTTCAAACGTTAGTTCAAATGATTCGTGATGTTTGTTTTTTGAAAATAATCGTGATCATTAAATGAAGAAGTTGAACAAGAAATTAATTTGACTTATAATCTACGTGACCAACATGTTGATTTTAAATTTTTGAAAGTTGGTCGTGTATTGGAAAAACAGAGAGACGTTTACTTTCTTGGTTTCCTGTAGCATGAAATTGTGTACTATTTTAAGGATCAAATTGATCTGGGGCTTGTAATGGAGAAAATGTTCCGCACGGAAAAGGGGGAATAGTATTCTTTCGTCAAGCTTGCCTTTGATGCATCGACGAGAGTCTAGAAAGAAAGTTGGAGGTTGATTTGACTCGGGAGAACTACAAATTAGGGAGTACACAATTCAGCCACCACATTTCTTTGTTGTATAAAATTGGCATGCAAGATAGCAAGAGGGATTTTATCATTGCGATGAACTTTCTTACCTTCATCCGAATGATTTCTGAGTCTTTGCTCCCCAAGAAGTTCAACATCAAGGTTGGGAACATCAGCCGAATGATAAAGGAGCTTGCCCCCACTTTTGGCCCAATGCATTTGACATGAATTGCCAAAACAATGTTAAGGAGTAATTACCAAGATTAGTTCAATAAGTGTATTTTACACATTATAAATAAAGACATTGGGCTGTACGAATGCAGTCAGCCTATTTTCCCCAATTATCAATCCATCCGTTATTTTCAGTTACTCTTCTACCTGCCTTAACAAACTAGTATCAGAGTGAGAAGAATTTTGTGTACTCTGAAATCCAAGAACGACGGTGGCGATGAACAACTTCTCCTCTCATCTGCCTATTCTCGACGGCAAGAACTAGCGTTGCTGGTCTATCCAAATGAAGGTGCTCTTTGGTTACCAGGAGGTTCACAAAATAGTGGAAAGTCGATTTCCAGTTTTGACCGAGAATCCCACATATGTGGAAAAGACTACATACACTGAGAACAAGAAAAAAGACTATTAAGTAATGTTCATGATCCATCGGTGTGTGGATAACGACCATTTTGAGAAGATTGCTCGTGCAACCAACTCCAAAGAAGGCTGGTATATCTTGGAGAGGTCCAATGAAGATGTTGATCAACTCAAGAAGGTTAAACTTCAAATGTTGAGAAGACAGTACGAATTGATGAAAATGGAAGGTAATGAGAAGGTAGAGGAATACATAACTAGAATTATCTCTGTAACTAATGATATGAAGATGTGTGGTGAGAGAATGACTGAACAGAATCTGTTGTTGTAGCTATTGAAGAATCCAAGGATCTTGCAACCTTGATATTGGAAGAATTAAAGGGCTCTTTGGAAGCGAATGAGCATCGGATTCTGGAGAGGAATGCTTACAAAGCCCCAGATCAAACTCTTCAGGTGTTGACTACCAAGAAATCATCTGGGAGAGGAGGTCAGCGTGGACGTGGAAGGGGCGAAGGAAAAGGTTATGGATAATTATAAATCAGGAAGTTTGGGTGAATGTTATAGGTGATTTATGGATAATTATAAATCATTTGAGTATTTTGAGAAGATTTTTCAATAGTTGAGATTATTTTGATATAATTGATATTTTAAATTATTTCAAGCAAATCACTAATAGTGGGAAACTATTCTTGTCCATTTTTCCTTAGAATTATGGTTTTAAAGTATTTATGCTCAGAGAATACTTATAAAAATGTTATTTTCTGACAGATAGGCTGACTACTAACATGAGTAAAATGAAGACATGTAGAAGAGTACTCATTCACTCCTAAAAAAGTCACATGAATGATATTTCTCCTTGGATTCAATGAGAGATCAATAGAAAGAAAAAACAACAATGCTTTTCAGTTGTCACATTCAAGTATGGTTTTCGATTTTATTCATATTTTAGCTCCCTTTCTATATAAGCGTGATAGTGTGATACCGTAGTGCTTGTAATGTTCTAAAAGGCGTAAGGCATGCCGAGGTGGCGCAGCCAAGCCTTAAGCCTTTGAAGCCTAGGCGGGCTTAGGCGGGAATCAGGCGTGAAAAGGCTTTTTGATTCTTTATCATTTATTTAAATTTTATAGAGCTAAGTTTTAAAATTTTAAATATTTTATTAAGTAATGTTATTCAAGAACATCATGTTTTTCCAATTTTCAACAAAATAAGATCAAATGTAACAAATACAAATATGCCAATTTCTAAAAAACCAGAATTAAAAAAAAGTAGACAAACGATAAAATATTAATAAAAAGAAATAGCACTTAATATATGACTAAAATAAGAATAGTGAATAAAAATGTAACGGAGTATATGGTAACTTTTAGTAATAATAATTACGTTTAAATTTTACATAGTAGCGAAAAAAATATTTACAGTCATTTAGTCACATTCTTTCTCTATAAACTTTACTATAGTAATATTTTAGGAAAAACATATACTAAAAATGATAACAATGATAATGATAACTATAAAATAAAACAATAGTATAATTACAACAGTTAGAATATTAATATTAATAATTAACAATAATGATACATAGACCATAGTACAAAGTAGCTACTTCCAATTTAGCGTGTTTGGATTAAGCTTATAATAATAATAATAATAATAATAATAATAATAATAATAATAATAATAATAATAATAATAATAATAATAATAATAATAATAATAATAATAATAATAATAATAATAATAATAATAATAATAATAATAATAATAATAATAATAATAATAATAATAATAATAATAATAATAATAATAATAATAATAATAATAATAATAATAATAATAATAATAATAATAATAATAATAATAATAATAATAATAATAATAATAATAATAATAATAATAATAATAATAATAATAATAATAATAATAATAATAATAATAATAATAATAATAATAATAATAATAATAATAATAATAATAATAATAATAATAATAATAATAATAATAATAATAATAATAATAATAATAATAATAATAATAATAATAATAATAATAATAATAATAATAATAATAATAATAATAATAATAATAATAATAATAATAATAATAATAATAATAATAATAATAATAATAATAATAATAATAATAATAATAATAATAATAATAATAATAACAACAACAATAATAATAATAATAATAATATATACTACTCCCTCCGTCCCTAAATAAACTTCCATTTCGCTTTTCGAGGGTCAACTTAAATCACACTTAAACTCTTACTTTATGTATCAAAATTTTATAAAAAGTGAATTATTTTTTCTAGGCTTTGTAGCGGGTTTGATGTTGTTTCTGAATATGTAAATTTTATTTTCTAAAAATAATCCGAGTTTTCACAAGGATCATTTAACTTTATCGCTGGTCAAACTTCGTAACCCGCAATTGGAAGTTTAATATGGGACGGAGGTAATACTATATATGTAATATAATATAATAATATAAGGTTGCATAATTTCTTAATGATTGTTTCTCAATAAACCTTTGAGTGGAGCTGTGGCGTAACTTCACCCAAATCACCCGTATTCCTTTTCCATTCAAATTTCCCACACCGGTGGGAGAGGAGTGTTCCTCCTCACGAAAGCCTATAAATAACTCTGTCTTCCCTTTGATTCATAGGGAGTGAAAAAAGCCCTGCAACGCTTGGAAAAGCAAAATGCGGGTCAAAATTGAAGTCAGTAGAAGTATACTCGCCTTGTCTTGCGCCTAAGCCTCACGCGAGGCGTTTCAGTGGCGCCTCAGGCCTAGGCGCGAATGCGGCGCCTTTTGGAGCCTTTTAGAACACCAAATTGAAAACCTTCTAGCCACGAAATAATTGTAAAAACAATCTAAATTAGGTTTTTTTTTAATGTGATAGGCTCCTATCGAAATTAGGTTCATATGCTAATGGAATTAAAAATCATCTAAATTAGGTTTTTCTAAATTATAGGTTCATATGCTAATGGATTTATGGTGTTGCCAGACACCGTAACCTTTGACGAAATTGAAACCAGAGTTATAATTTATAAACACTCATTTTGTTACTCCACCCATTATTCTACAGACTATGATATACATATAATGAGCACTATAATGGGCTTGTAACCCGCCGGACTTACTCAACCGGAGAGTTATCGGTTTTTAACTTAAAACAGAGGAATTATCCGCCATTGATGAAGGCATAGAGCAAGGATGCCTCCACTACTTCTTCATATACTAATAATAAGCAAACCAAGCTGAAATCTAGAGATTGTAATATCTAAATAGATATATATTTAACCGTGTCGTTCTTCAGCCAAGTGATCGACCAAAGCCAACGCATTGCTGGTGAGATGGGCAACATTCAGAATCCGACCCCGCACGGCGATCTTAACGCCGCCGTTAGATCCATTTCCGGCGAACCCCTCCGTGCAGGTGTCTTCGTCCGTCAGGGCGGCGCTGACCCAAGTCTCGATGTCGCTCATCTTCCGATTGAAGTCCCGGCGGTGGCGGCGGCCACCGAGATCCTTCATCTCGCCGAGAGAGTCCCTGAGTTCGTCCACCGTGTCGCTGAGTTCCTCGATGCAGTCACTCATGGCGCCGATCTCTCGGCGCGCCAAGCCGTGGCGCCTGGCCATCTTGACCATCGCGGCGGCCGTTGACCGGGCGGTTCGGAGGGTGACGCTGAGGGCGGCGTGGGCTAGGAGCTGCGGGTCGGCGCCGATGAATGCGGCGCGGCTCGAGAGAGAGGTGATGCAGAGGGTGGGATATGTGGTTGTGTTGCAAGCCGTTCTGATGAAGTCGGTGTCTGCGGCGGCGGCGGCGGCGGCGGCGGCTCCAGCTGCAATGGTTGCCGAAGCCGAAGTGAAAAGAAGGGAGAGGGCAAGGAAATGGTAAAGAAAAAGTGTTTGTGACATATCGCTCGTCAATTGCCTTTTCACTAATCCAATTTGCCGATGAGGTTATGGTTATATATATAGTGACTAGAAGATAAAGGGAGTGTTTGCAACAGTTTCTGCTTAAAAAAAAGCACTTTTGGAGATGAAATGAAAAAGTGATTAGTTGTAAAAGTTGATAGTGTTTGAGAAAAAAGTGATTTTGAAAAGTAAAAGTTGGTTGTGTTTGGTAAAATAAGTGCTTTTGGTGTATAAAAAGGGGAAAAGCACTTTTGACACGAAAGCCGAGAAAAGTAAAAAATTGGTAGTGTTTGGTAAATAAGTGCTTTTTTAAGCCAAAAGCTGAGAAGTGCTTTTTTTAAAGTTGTTGCAAACCAACCTAAAGTAAATAATTGAAGCAAAATTAAAAAATGTACACACCCCCCATTTATTTTGTCTATGTAGTTCGTTAAGAAGAAGACAATATTTGTCTTCTAATTATCTGTTTACACAGACAATCTATAAAAGTGTGTAGATCAAGAATGATTCGGAATAAAACATTTCAACTTCTCTGGTCTCTTCCACCTCTGTGTGGACTAATTAAACTTTTATCAGTATGGAGTAACATTAGCTGAAAATGTACTTTTCCATTCTTATAATTTTGTCATTTTTTTATTTTGTTTATTGTTTCATAAACAAAACGACATACTTGACAACCAATATAACTCGTTAATTGTTAAGAAAGTAGAATTGAAAAAAACATTTGTATTCATGATAAGATACTACTCATTAATGGGTCGTTTGAAATTGAAATTGCTTCTTAGAAAGTAAAATTAGAATCTTGTAGCACTAAGGATTAGAAGCATATCAAGAAATAAGTTGAATCTCTGTTTTTTTTATTACAAAATTAGGATTTAAAATTGAAGAAGCGAGATTAACTTCTCAAAAGCTTATGCTGAATGGAATTTGGGATATGTGTGTATCGACTTGATCGAGTTTTTATAACATGTTTCCAATTGTATCTTGTAAGGTTTGTCACTAACTCCAATTATGATACTCGTATGTTAAACCAGTGTAATTGAATCTAGTTTAAAGTAGATTAAAAATATTGATCGGGTCAAACTTGACATACATTTATGTCAAATGTTACCCGATTACTTTAAACTAGATTCAGCTTAAAATTGATCAATTATTTCTTGATTTAGCTTATTTTAGGCTGAAGTTCATTCTTTTGATCCGTGTAAGTTGTCTGGGGAGACTGGGATGAAACCAACCGAGTAAAGGAAGTTTTAAAATTTATTTTACTACGGAAGTGTACTTGTGAGTTGTGTGAACTGAAAATTTATCATGTTTTATAAGACATTATAGCAGTAAATAGTAATGTTTAATTTTGGGTGAACTTGTATAATGTGAAACTAAAATAGCAAAAAGTTATGCTAAAACCTAAGTTTCATCAATGTCTTATATAGTAATTTCGTAGTTTGATTTCATTAGAGTTGTGATAATAGGTATTTATGCATATTGCAACTCTTTGATTTTTCTGCAAGATTTCAATTGAAACTTATACTCGTATATGGTAAAGAAGAGCGGGGCTAAATGTCTCATAAACAATTGGTGATGTAGGAATCAACCCAAATAGGATTAAAAGTGGGATGAAATTCAAAAACATGAACTTTTATGTTTAGGAAAAGTACAGAAAACGTATCTATGGTTTGAGTCATTTTCAGATAGGGACATGTGTTTCATTTTCTAACAAAGTGGGGCATGTCTTTCAATTCCATTATCATAGCAGGGGCATGGCGTCTAACGCCGTTAGAAAAATTAACCTCGATTTTAAAAAGTCTTCGAAAAATTAAAAAAAAAACATTGGGAGGTGCGCCTCGTCAAGGAGATAAACAAACTATATTTCTCTTTGGATTTTTCGGCTCTATTTGGATTATTTTTTAAAAACAAATTTGCTAATATCAATTTTCTGGTGAACTTTCTGGAGATATGGTGGCTGGAAACAAAAAAATAAAGATAGTTTGTTTATCTCCTTGACGAGGCGCACCTCCCATTATTTTTCTTTTAATTGTTCGGAGACTTTTTAAAACCGAGATTAATTTTTCTAACGGCGTTAAACGCCATGCCCCTGCTATGATAACAGAATTGAAACACATGCCCCACTTTGTTAGAAAATGAAACACATGCCCCTATCTGAAAATGGCCCAAACCACATGTACGTTTTATGTACTTTTCCCTTTATATTTTTATTCCCAAATAGGACGTATCTACTCCTATTTTGAAACATACTAAAATTAGCATCCTATTTTGAAACATACTAAAATTAGAAATCAACCCCTGCAGTCTCTCCAAACAATTGTTCGTTGCTTTCTCCGAACGCGACCAAGGGTCTCCACAACCGCATCTCACCTTCTCCCTTGCACGGAATTGCCGATTTCATCTCAGGCCACCTTCGTCGTAGGGCATCTTTGCCGCCTCCGCCTTCATCGCTCTCTTCTCTGACTTCATCGCCTCCGCCTTCCACCATCATCGTCTTTATTTTCGTCCGAATTTCAAATTTTTCACCTCTTATTCTATTTATCCTCCTCCTTCTTCTACTACTACTTCGAAGGATAGGAATTGAAGTTAATCTCTAAAAACTGTTATTATGACTGCCGGCTATATCTCATCTTTTTTTTACTGGGTACCTGGAGTAAACTGGACCAATCTCACTCCATTAAGTACAAAATTCGGGACTTCACATAAAGGAGAGGGAGTCGATGACGAGATGAGCTGCACTGATTCCTCATAACTCCTATTTTTATCATTTGCCTTTTATTAATCATACATCACACATTTATTAATAAAAAATTTGTCGTTATTTTCCTTTTTAATTTCAATTTTTTTCCCCAATCTCTAATTTTTCTCTTCGGGCTCGTTTGTTATGATGTAAAGTAAACACTTTGCATGTAAAGTAGAGGGGCGTAAACATTTTACTCCGTTTGTTTTAATTATTTAATGCCAACTGTATGACACTTTTTTTAAAACATTTTACATCGTACCATGTAAAATACTTTACGTGGGGCAATAAACTGTTTTACATTTATTAATTAATAGCCGGTATAACATACTCCGTATAATTAAAGATTTAATATGGATTGCACTTCTACGCTGGAGAATTGGAGAGTGACGGCAATAAAGATCTCTCCTATATCAGAACACACCATCGTCACCTATTTCTCAACCTATGAACATGTCTTCTTGGTCTGCTGTTTTCTGTTCTCAATTTTGCAAATGCACTTCAAAAAGAAAACGATTACAATAAAAAGTTGCACAACATTTTTGCTAGTACTTCACACACACGTTCCTTTTACACGTAAATAATTTGTGTGTTTAATGTGTAAACTACCAAACGAACCCCCTGTGTGAATGGCATTCGTATAATATTTCAATTATTTCCCTTTTTAACTATTACAAATGTTATTTTATCAAGACTCTGGAAAAATCATATCGATAAATTAGAAATGAAGGTATTAACTATGTAACTAAAGTATATGTAACTCCTCCGTATGTCATACAACTTGAATCTATAGTGCACTTAAGTGTTACTAGTATGACATAATTAAAGAGAATTCGGCATGCAATTCATTAGCACAGAATATTCAAAGACAGTATGAAAACTAATGATGGGGTATAGCCGTAAAGCTAAAGTTAGTACACAGTGCAATGCACTAGTTCAGCCGTACAGATTGAGTATCCTCATGTACACACGGTACGCGAAGGCCAGCCGACTCTTATTTACGGGAATCGATGCACTAAATATTTTTTTGTCTACATTAGGTCTGATTAAATGAGTCAAACCATTTGCGATGAATCGCTTCGTCAAAGCACGATTGAGTTTAATTAGAGGGTGAACATATGGATTTTCAGATCGATTTGGAACATGTTGGGTTTCGTTAGTATTATTAATATTAATATATGAAAGCTTTATAAAATTTGTTTTCGGTTTTGTTCAGTCTGGATCAGTTTCAATCTGTTCGATTTATTCGATCTGATGTGATTCGATTCGGTTAAACCAAACAATATGTCCACTCTTAAGTTTAACTATGTGCAAATTTGACTTGAGTTTGATTCGACTCGCATATGTAACAATTTTTTAATTTAGGCTCGTAGCTCGGGATTGTGAGATCGTGTGTGTATGTGTATTGTGGACGATAAAAACCAATCCTCTATTTCTAAATTTGTACACTGCCTAAACCCACACCAATTACGGAGTAAACAAACTTTTATTTTAGTAGGAGACAAAAAAATTCCAATCCACCAAGCCAAACTTAAGGTGAACCGCCTATTTAGGAATATTATTAGAAACTGCTACCCTGCAGGAAAGAATGAAAGACAGATAAAAGAATCGCATATATTAAATTTGCAAGTACGAAGTGTGGATTGCTTGAGAAATTGTGGCCGTTGTGCAGAGGTACCGGAGTCGTTGGAGCACTTATTCAGATTATGTGGTGTAGCAAAGGATAATTGGACCGAGGTTAAATGGCACTGGAAATCACAGGAGGGTGTTTCTTTTTTGGACCAGCTCTGTGAGGAGTTCCGATGCGGGAAGCAAGAGGACATGGAACGCCTAGTTTGGGGCTGCTGGACACTGGAGCGAACGGAATATCAGGATTTGGCAGGGGTCTTCTCCCTTGGCAAGGCAGGCTGCTTATCGAGCCAGTGCTTTGGTCGATGGGTGGCGACACGCTCAATTGCAGGTAGCTCGGGGACGAAGGCAACACCTAGTTTGGCAGGGCAGAGCAAAATGGAGCAGACCGGTACAAGGGGGCTGGAAGCTGAATGTTGACGTAGCTATTCGGGCAAACAAATGCAGAATGGGCTGGTGTTTGAGGAATTCTGAGGGTCAGTTCATAGCTAGTGTTTTACGACCATGGTCGGGCAGAATGTCAGTACTTGGAGCCGAGTTCGTTGGAATCCGTGAGGCATTGAGTTGGTTGAAAGGTTTTGGTGATATCCCGGTAGAATTAGAATCTGATGCAGCAAGAGCAATTTCAGAAATTCTAAACGGCTCGAGCTGCTCGTTGGTGGGACTGTTGAGAGATGATATTAGAGACTTGGCGAATTTTTTTTCAAACATTTCATTTAGTCATATTAGACGTTCAGCGAATAGGCCTGCCCATTTGTGAGCTAAGGCGTCTTGTGTCTTTGCCTGAATCGCAGTCTTGGGTTGATTTTCCTCCATCTTTTATTGTATCGGCGTTAGTCAACGATTTGATCAATGATAATTAAGTCATTTTCTTTCAAAAAAAGATGGCATAGAGTCATAGATAGATGGACATAAATATGCCACTTCCGTATACTAGTATGTTATATTCCCACACCGGCTTCTTCTTTAGTTTAATATTTCGTTCCCACACCGGTTGTAGACGAAGCCTGAGCCTTCATTTTGAATAAATACAGTGAACCCCACTCAAAAGCTTGTTGAGTACAATGAACTGTGAAGAATTTAGCGAAGCCTTCTTCGCCAGATAACGAATCGAAATTGAGTGGACTGACCGACCATATCCTGAATGCATCAATGCTTTTGGACTTTTTATCAAATATTAAAACAATAAAACCCTTTTCCTTTTTTTTAATGGTAGCATATAAAATTTACTCGTACTAATTTATGAAAATTTATGAATGTCTCTTTACAAATTTTTATAGTTAGTTTTGTTGTTGTTGTTACTAACGGCCTGTTTGGATTGAGTGTTGAGGAGTGTTAGTAATGAAAGTGTTAGTAAGTGTTGATGCTAACACTTGTTTGGGAGAAAAAACCAGATGTGTTAAGAAGTGTTAGTAATGGTTAGGAAGTGTTAATAATAACCTTCCCAACACCTCAATTGTCCATTTTTTTAACACCCCAATTTGGAGTGTTTTGAGGTGTTGGACAATTATTACCCTTCTCATTTGCCCGAAAAACATAAAATGTTTCGACATTTCACTTCGAATGTCTTTCCCACGGGTCTGATGGTTTGTTTTTTCATCTCTTCTCTTTACTCGTTTCTTTTGCCTCAAGGTAAAATTATTAACACTTCATTCATTTGACTCTCCCAAACAAGGTAAAATTATGTCTAACACTTACACTTCCCTTCCCTTCCGAGCCCTTACTAACACTTACTAACACTTCCACTACTAACACTTTTAAACACTCCATCCAAACAGACCCTAATAGAAATAAACTATATATAATTTAGGAAAAATTGACAAGAATAATTCCACCTTTCACTAGTCTTCTTATAATAATCTCACCTTTAAATAATCCCACATTTGCACCTCATCTTATTTCAATAGATCCTGGCCATGTTTTTTACTCTTTCTTTGAAAATTATACAAATAATCTCACCTTTCACTTTTTAATTATTCCTTATAAATGTGAGATTATTTATATAAGAGTTTTAAAAAGGTAAAACACTTGGTCAGAGTCCAATGAAAGAAGATGAGGTGCAAAGGTGGGATTATTTTGGGATTATTTAAAAGTTGGTTTATTATGAGAAGACCAGTGAAAGGTGGGATTATTCTTGTCAATTTTTCCCATAATTTAAGCAATTTTATCAATTCAGCTCTTTAGATAGATAATTAATAATCCAACATTTGAAAGATGAAATGTGTCGATGTAGGATTCGAAAGATTGATAAATTTCACATATTTTTATAAATTTCACATATTTTGATTTATTTATTTTCATTAATTATATTGCTAATTTTTTATGAACTTTTGTTCACAAAGTTTATTGGTTTAATAACAAAAATTAAATACTATGGCTCATTTTGTCAGGGATATATTTTCCGTTTTGAATCGTCCTAAAAATATGATCACATTTCTAAATCAGAATTCACTAACTTTTTACTTTCTCATTTTATATCTTTATATATCAATTTATCATTTACTTGTTGTGGATCCATCTTTACTCTTTTTTACTTTTTGGAGTTTAGAATGATGAAACAATCATTTTATCATTTTATTTTGGGATAAGGGTCAGATAGGGCCTCGAACTTGAAAAATAGTGTCAAATAAGGCCATATTTAGGATGGTATATCCGGCTGACGCCATTTGGGGCGGTTCCCAGTGGATTTTTTTAATGATATTTTTTAGAATCTTATTCATTAAGTTTAGTTTACTCATATCGAATTTGAAGTAACAATTCAATCGGGAAGGCATTCAAATGAATTCTTGAAGATAACTGCGCTTTTTACTGCATAGTTATCTTTGAGAATTCATTTGAATGTCTTCCCGATTGAAGTTTTAATTCAAATTTGATATGAGTAAACTAGACTTAATAAATAAGATTCTCAAAAAATTTCATAAGGAAAATCCACCGGGAACCGCTCCAAATGACGCCGGCCGGACAGAACATCTTAAATATGGCCTTATTTGACATTTTTTTTTTCAAATTCGAGGCCCTATTTGACCCTTATCCCTTTTATTTTCTTAAAATCTTGCTCCCACCATAACCAGACTTGGTCGAGTCTTCCCAATCGCTGCCTAATTAGCAACCCAATCTCCCAACTCGAAAAGACTGCACTGTTCTTGTAATGTTTTTGAGTTATCATTCTCAAACGTTAAGAGTGGTTTCCACCCTTCTTTGGATCGAAGAAAGCGTTCCCGCTGGGAAAGAAACAAAAAATCGGCACTTTGCCCTCCATCAAAACGAGAAAAATCAATGAATCAACTCACAACAAGAACAAATCAAAACTAGTTCCCCAAGTTGTGCCGCAAATCTCCTACGATCCGCGCGTAACAAACCCTACATATTGTCATATTTAACGGAAAGTGGAACATCTACGCTTTTTTTTTAAATTTGTGTTACACTGTTACTTAGTTCGGATTAATACGTTTACCGTTTGCTATGATTTTAATTTTAGAATTTAAAAGTTTATAAAGGATGATACGTATCTTGAATAAAGCATCAAACATTTACTATTATAATCTGAGAACTACCAAATAAGCTCTCAAACTTATAAAAAAAATGCAAATCACGCCTTTTATAGAAAGCTCTGTCCGACTGTCGCCATTTAAGGCGGTTCGCAGTGGACTTTTTTATTGAAAATTTTTTAGCATCTTCTTCATTAAGGGGGTGTTTGGTTGATAGCCTTTTTTCTGTTGTTTTGATTATTAAATGGCCTTTTGACCATTTCAAACTGCTATGTAAGTGTTTGGTGAATCAACTTTTTCTATTAGCTTTTCATCCCAATCAGCCCAAAATCAAAACTCCATTTTTAGTAGCTTTTTCAGTTGGCCGTTTGAGTTTATTCATTAAAATACAATTTGGCCTTGTTTTGTTTTTAAATCATACTCACTACGTAACTCTTGTACGTAAATCAAAGATCCTCTCTTCAATACGTAGTATATTTTGTGCTTTAAATATTAACAGAATTTCCAGGAAAGAAAAAGACACTTTAGCAAGATATGAATAGATATGAATAAATATCAATTCAACAATTTTGTTCGAAATTCTTTTAACATATAAATTTAGCTAGATATGAATAAATACATTACGGTGAATATTATTTGTCATTATTATTATTATCATGGAAAGGCATTTTATTATTATTATTATTACTATTATTATTATTATTATCATTATTATTATTATTATTATTATTGGTATTATTATTGTTATTATTATTGTTATTATTATTGTTATTATTATTTTTATTATTATTGCTATTATTATTATTATTATTATTATTATTATTATTGTTATTGTTATTGTTATTATTATTATTATTATTATTATTAATTGTTAATTTAGTGAATACAAATTGTTTAGGATAACATATTAAAATCACATCCAAAACAAAAAGAAAACTAGAAAAGATAAGTAAACTAAACGTATTTGATGTCCTTGTTTGTGGTAACTGGTAACATCAATATTTAAGTGCATTTTTCATTTCTTACACAACTTTTCTCGGTATATTTTTACTTATAAGTTCATTTATTATTAATTAAAATATCATCACACTAATTAAACTTTTTCTTGAAAGCAATATTTAAAATACTTATTATTTGTGTTAATACATTTATATATATATATATATATATATATATATATATTTTGAAATCATAAAAAAGGTTTAAGTAGTTGTACTAGTTAAATTAATAAAAATAATTGATGTCCTTACTAGTCATTTAACAAGTTAGCAGCTAATTGTAAGCAGTCATTTAACCAAACACCATCTTACGAACTGCTAATCTTACTAGCTGATCAAATCAGCCAACAGAATCCGCTAACATCAATCAACTAACACAATCAGCCAACAGCCAACAACCATTGGCCAAACACCCCCTAAGTCTAGTTTACACATACTAATCTTCAGCTAAAAATTTAACCGGGAAGACAATCATCTTACGTTGTTTAAATGCGCAGTTATCTTCAAAAAATCATTTTACTGCCTTTCCGGTTAAATTTTTAACTGAAATTTGATAGGAGTAAACTAGATTTAATGAATAAGATGTTCAAAATATTTCATCAAAAAATTCTATTGGGAACCGCCCCAAATAGCGACGGCCGGACAAAACCTTCTATAAAAGGCCAAGGATGATTTGCCATTTTTGTGTAAGTTCGAGAACTTATTTAATAGTTCTCCCTATAATCATCCATAGACTTGTTGAGAAATAACCTACATTGAAGATTAAAGGATACAACCATGCTATAGGTACTCCATTTTGGGGTAACCCATTCTTACACCACACATTGTTTGGTCTAAATATGGCCACACTTAAATGTATTGCCCCACTTAGGGAGTGTTTGCAATCACTTAAAAAAAAGCACTTCTCGGCTTTTGGCTTTAAAAAGCACTTATTTATCAAACATTACCAATTTTAACTTTTTCTCGGCTTGCATGTGAAAAGTGTTTTTCCCCTTTCTATTACACAAAAAACACTTATTTTACCAAACACTATCAACTTTTACTTTTCAAAATCACTTTTTTCTCAAACACTATCAACTTTTCCTACTAATCACTTTTTCCTTACATCTCCAAAAGTGCTTTTATTTAAGCAGAAGCAGTTGCAAACACTCCTTTAGAAGTATTGCCCCAATTATGGCCATACAATAGGGAGTGTAAGAATGAGTATCCAAAATGGGATACGGTTAGCATTTTTTGTAAAGGACCAGCAGAAATGGGAGAAAAAGATGCCTAGCCTACAGCCGAGAAAGCAACGCCTCCCCCTTTAATCACTCCATATCATTTATGCCGCAATTTTTGGCTA